TTAATACCATTATTTACTTTTTTTTTTTTCTTTATTTAATTTTTCAATTTATATGAAGTTTTTGTAAACCTTTACGAGTAATATGCTGATAACTTTAGTATTATTTCAGATTAAATTGTAAATTTTTGAGATCAATTGTTTCCGGTTATTATGAATAAAATTTATTTAAAAAAAAAAATTATATTTTATTCAATATTTTTATTGCTTAAGGCTTTAAAATGATTGATTTGTCAGTTAATCGATTCTTTTGTGATTTTTTTTATCGTAAGTATAAAAGTGTAATGGAGCATATTGCTAGAAATAAAATTTCTTATATGAAATTGTAAAAAGATTTTTTGTTATTTTTGAATTTCGGGATTTAAAATTTATTCAAATTTGATTTTAAATAAAAAAAAAAATTGTTAGAATTAATCCAGTTATATAACAAAAGCAAGTTAATTTCTAATTTGATCCGCAATAAAATCAAAAATCCGGTATTAATTTTCCTAATTTAAAAAATTCTTACAAATACAAATAATTAATTTATTAAGAAACTTATCAATGAATTTTGTGAATTTTTGTTTTGAATTGAATGAAGTTATTGAAAAAAGTATTTGTATATAATTGTAATTTGTATTTTAAATGGATTTGATTAATTTATTCAAAGTAATGTGAAATTAATAATATATTATTTTCCATATCATCTTCTTAAATAAAAGTTTTCATTGTTTTAAAGATAAATAGCCATTTTGATATACAGTGGATAAAAAGTATTCTTATAACTTTTTATTCAATAACAAAGAAACAGCAACCGAAGAGAAATACAGAACTGATTATGATTTCTTAGGATAACATTTTGGATGCTTAAAGGATCTGAACACAATTCAATAGAGCTGCTAAAAAAAATACGATATTTAATTAATGTGAATCGTTCTCCTTTAATGGATGTAAATCTAGTTTACAAAGAAAAACGGATAGAATTCATAGGATTTTATCAATAATTGCTTAACATGCAAAATATACTAAAGGAAGAATGTAAAGGTTGAAATTAAAAATAGAATGTGCAGTGGAATCCATTTAGCTACAATCGCTGTATTGGAATTTTCAGGATAAAGGAGAAGTAATTAAGTCACTACAAAAAGAAATGGAAGATAGCTGGACAAGCTTAACCAAAATTAGCTATTGGCGCACAGAAATATGAGCTGGAGACGTGACATGGATTCTCTTATATTAAGAGTTCTAGATATTATTTAATATATATTATTATGATAAAACTTTATTTAAAAGGCGATATTTTTAAATATTCTTTAATTTAACTTATTTAATGTTTAATTGTGAAACGTAAATAACATATTTCATTTTAAGGAAACACTGAGATAATTATTATACAAACGGAACTAATGCAAGCATTCATTGTATAATTATTAATTATTTCAGAGAAAATATAATTACTAAGTTCGATGCAAAAATTTGTGTCATAATATTTTTAATATTCATATATTTATATATTTTTTTTAGATAGACTATAAAATATATATGTTTGTTCATTATTCCTATATAACATTTTTTTGTATTGCACTAGATAATAGTTCTAGAAAATTTAATAACTTTTTTTTTAAATTATTCAAAACTAATGGTTATTATATGGTCATATTTAGTAACAACTAAAATATTAAGGTATACAACACTGTATTAATTAGATACCCTTCCATATTAATTAATAGTTCATTAATTATTATATATATATATATATATAGGATATCCTATATATATATATTTCTAAATAATAATATATGTAGGTGCCATAAAATTTATATTTATTTTACTTTCCGTATTGCTGTTATTATTACTGCAAAATTAAATTTAGCAATAAAAAATTTTTTTAATAAATTATGCTATTTATACTTTTAATAAATTTTTAACAATTTTTTATCTTTAATTCTTGAATTAAATTTATTATGTTGGATACAATTCGAATTAGAATTATTTTATATACGCATAAAGTAATATTTTGAAATTTAAAATATATTCACACAATCATTAGTATATACACCTGCACATTGAATTAATAAAAAATTTAGTAATTATAATTGTTTTGTTTTTTGTTTTGATTATATAAAATCGTTTTTTTTTAATTATACCTTATTTTATATATTAATAAGAAAATTAATAATAATATTATAATTATACATTAATTAATAAATTTATCTTGTAATTAATAAATTTGATTCCTTAAAATGGAATAACAGAGTCATATAAAATGAAATATTGTATAGAATAAGTAGAAAGTACCACAATTTTATTACTCAAAAATTCATTTTTATAATAATTTCTTAAAGATGAATATTAATTAATGTACATAGTATTTAATAATTATTATTAAATATAATTAATAATAAATTATATTTTGAGAAATTAATAAAAACAATTGAAATTATTATTATTTTGTTCACGATTTATTAGATAACAATTTGGAATTATTTGCAATACATACTAACATATAATATAGTCATATGTACATACATATTATATTTGAAAAAAAAATTAGAATTTATAATTTATAAGATTATAAAATTTTTAGAAAACACTTAAAGGGTTCTTGAATAATATTGAATAATAATTATTTTGTTTTCTCATTTGACCATTGCGTATTATCATTATATAAATCTTATGAATAATAATTAATTATTTAATTTTTTTGATAAAAATGAATCATTTGTATCAATTTAATTTTTAATTTCATTATTAGCAATTCAGCAATCAACCATCGCTGAATTGCATTTACACATTTGCTATAAAATATGTACATTGAAAATTAGAAATGAATAGTCATTTGACGTTAGTTTGGAAATTTTCCAAATTAAATTACATTTTATTTTAAATTTTAAAATGTTAATTTTTTGTTACATCATTAAGCGTAATATTAATTAGAAATTATCATAAGATTAAAAGAATTAGATTAATAAATATAGTATTTATTATGTATCTTGAATATTTATATATTCAAGAATAATGATAATAAAAACTAGTATTTTCAATGTTATAAAAAAAAAAAGTTATCAGATATCAATGCACTTTTAATATCAATTCATTCAAAAATTGCATAATAATTGTAATTTAAAATTGTATATTATACAATTTAATAATTGGTATTTAAAAACTATTTGAATTTAATTCAATATATACGTAAAATAATTAATTCGTTAAGAAATAGTATGAGTGGTAAGAAAGAAATAAGTTCATTTTATTCTGAATTAAAAATTAGGTAGTTTATGGGCATAGTTTGTTTGATTAACTTTCTGACTTTTAAATATTATGTGTTCTATTTTGGAATTATGTGATACCACTATTCGAGCGTACTTCTTGTTTTCTGATTAAATTAATTATAATATTTTAAGTTACTCCATAAATTGTTTATTAACTTTAAATTATTAAGTTTTTATAACAATTTCTTTAAGATAATCAATAAGATTATTTTATTCACTGATTAGAAGACGTAGTTATGCAAAAAATGGAGTAATTCCTACTTTTCTAATCAAAAAACTAGCTGTAATTATCTGTAAGGTGGTGCATAACTAACTTTTATCTCATTCAAAAATGCAATAAATAACAAGATTCCAATAAGACCTATATACTTTTTCCAATTCAATGTGCAATATAAAATATATTTAACTTGCATGAATATGCAATATTAATTAAACATAATAAATTCATAATAACATATTTGTTTTTCATATTCAATTGATTTATTTCAATTTTTAGCATAATTTAATAATTAATTTTTACATACATATGTACATACCTTATAGAACTGTTGAATTTCAATGTTAAATTCCTCATCATAATTATTTTTATTTCAATTTAAATTGATTTAAGAAATTTCAGAAATGTTTAATTATTACTTTTGTGATTTTTTGTTTTCTTTTATTCTTTTATTATTTTGACACCTTTGTTTTATTAAATTAATAAAAAAATCGTAAATTTAATAGAAGTTTATTAGAAATTTTAATAGAAAAATAAAAATTTATTTATTAATAAAATTAAAATATTTTCGAATTATTAAATCCGAAATAAATGGCAAACATTTAAAATATTTATTAAGACTTAAATGTATGTGTAATTATGCGAAAATTCTTGATAAACCAAATAATTTTTAATGAAATTTGTATAAATTGAGAACAGTCACACGTCGGTTTCAAAAGAAAGTGTTATGTAAAGGGAACATAAGACTGAAGTGAACTATATTTTAGCTGTTATAATAATTAATATTTTTGAATTAAACATCATAACATTTGCGTATTATAAACTTGACCTTTTATAAATAATATAGTTATGCAATATTAAATGAAGTTAAATTTAATTTCTAATTTAAATATAAACCTGCATAATATTTGTATATATACACATGTACATATGTATGTATATAAATTAAATTTATTTATTACAAATTTACATGTTTTCAATTAAAATGCCATAAAAGTGTGTTAATTTCTCTTGTATGCACTACCTTTTTTGCCTAATATCTTTTAACAAACATATTATATAATATGTTATTGTATATATATTCTTAGAACATAAAAATAGAAGTTAAAAACCTATAGTTAATTAATTTATCTAAAACTTGTTATTCTACTATTTGTCTTGTTTTTTATGATTTTATTTTAAATCTGACTTGTTTTAATTTTTTTCCACCGTATTTACAATATTTTAGTGTAACTTGAACTATCAAAGTAATTAAGTATATAGCTATTTTTAATGAACATAAAACCATACATTGTAATATTTAAATCTATTAAACTTAATTTATAATTTAATTATTATGATATTTAATATCGACGTAATTTCAAAATTTATGATTTGCAATTTTCCAATGATTTTGAAATTATTTTTGTGGTTGAATTTTTTTTTACAAATTCATGTTCAATAAATAGTTTAAATATGCATTATTTATGCATTTGTACACTTAACGAACCATGATTAACATATTCATTTTAAATATTTTTTTTTGTTTGTTTTTATAGAAATTCAGCAGAATTGCAAAGACGTTTTCCAAATGACTTCCGATGGGGTGTTGGATCATCCTCATATCAAATTGAAGGTGGATTCAATGAAGATGGAAAAGGTGCATCAATATGGGATTATATGTCACATACATATCCAGAAAAAATTGCTGATAAAAGTAATGGTGATATTTCAGCATATAGTTACAAATATGTAAGTATATTTATATAAAATGAACTTAGAATAAAATTACACTGTAATCTGCGGATAACGTAAAATATTTTACGAACTTAGTCGGTAAAACAATTAGAGGAAAAGTGTCAAAATGGGACAAAATTATGGGTGAATTAGTGCATTTATTTTATCTTTATTCTAATTTTAATCACAATCTTTACAAAATAGCAAAATTTTTCTTAATTAAGATTATTTTTTAATTAAAATCATATTAATTTGTAATTTTTTTTTTACATTTAATTCCAATATTTCAATTGAAAATTTTCATTGAAATTAAATTAGAGTATTTTGCAAAGTACATACTTTTGAAATATTGAACAAATGTAGGGGGGGGGAGACTAAATTAAAATGAAATATATAACAAATATTTTATTATATCCAATATACATACATTTATGTATACAAAATTTTTATATATTATTTTACATAATTTCTGTGAAATAACATTGATATATCAATTGATAAATACCGATCAATGCAATTAAAAGTAACAAGATCAAGTCAATTAATATTAATAATAATCACCTGTTTTTGTAATCATAATTATTATTACATCATTTTTGTTTTGTTATTTTAATAATAGCACAATGGTAACGCATAACACAATATAACACAATATACATATGTAGTATGTACATAATAATATTATGTTAAATTTTTCTTTTCTCATCATGCTAAAATGAATAAAAATAATAAAAATTCAATTCGATTGTTAGTTTTCCATATGATTTTTCAATGTATCATAATTATTAACATATACATATATGTACAGTATAATTTGTACCGAACAAATGATCTATAAGAGAGGGATGTAGTAAAATGTAAGACAAGTGTTATTTTTCTATTAATTTTGTATTTTGTATTATTTGTAATATCAGAACAGTAGTTTTATTTACATTCGAACATTTAAATAAAGTAGAAGGTGGGCGAGATAATGATTCTGAATTTTGAATAATTTTTAAAATAAAGCCATTATGATATTTGTTCATTTTCAAATATGCCGGAACCTGTTTCCATTTTCTTGCTCAAATATTAGTGATTAACAATTTGCGTTCCAAAATGAATTATAATATTAATTTTGCACCAGCCTGCAGAAATGATATTATTTGAATTTATTGTTCACTTGTAATAATCATAATGATGATACTTTTTTAAAAATAATTCTTGAAAGACTGGTTTTACAATTCTTATACTTTCTATATAATTACTGCAATTTATTTTCAGTTAAAATCAATGTTTAATGATAGTTTTTTACCCTTTACATTTTTGTCTTTGAAATTAACATAAATTATGCTTGTTGAACAAAAAAAAATTTATTTAATAATAATTATTATAAAATATTTAATCAGTATATTAATGTGAGAATTGATAATAACTAATTGCTTGGGAAAATAATTTAAAAAATAAAATTAATTCATATTAATTGAAAAGTGTACTTTATTATTATTTTTATAATAAAAAATTTAAAGTTATTACGAGTAAGAAAACTATTAAGCTTAAAATAACTTGAATTTTCAAACATTGCTTGGAAAATAATTATTTTTTCATAATGAGCCTTATTTAGATATTTATTAAAGACTATTTTACTTTTGTACTCTTTAAAGAAATATTAAATTTATCTTTTGTTCTTAGTTTCTACATGAAATGAACTTGAATAATATTGTTATAATTTATTTAACTAATAATAATTTTTTAGGTACTTATCGTAATTTAAATATTTTTATCTGTATAACAGTATTAAGTATTTGTAAATATTATTCAATGCAAAATTAATTATAGTGCACAAAATCATTAAGAAAACTAGGTATAGAAAATTTACTCAAGAAGTAAGGAATAATTAAAAAAGTTTCTTTTTTTTTTTAAACTTAACGTTTTAGCATAATTAAAAGATAAATGAATTAAAAGAATTTTCAAGTAAACTTCGAATATCCACATTATACAGAGTGCTCGAGACTCGATTTTGCTAACTAAACAAGGATATAGAATTTGCCTCAACGAACAAAAAACACCAAGTGACATTTTGCTTTTCGGGTTCTTCTTTTCAAGTTATGAGTGCTCAAAGTTGAAATTTCTGAAAATCGTTCAATTTTTATATTTTTCTAATTATAACTCACAAAGTATGCAAAAGTCACACATCCATAGATAAAGTGTGTTCTGAAATGAAAATAAATTGCATGTTTATTTTTTGCTTTGCAATATTTTTTGCATTTAGCTTAAATTTATCAAATATAATTTCTATTAAATTTATATCTGTTAAATCATTTAAGGGAATTAAAATATATACTATGAATATAATTAAAAAATTATATAATATACATTAATTAAATGATAATGTTAGTTGATCTGATTAATATAAAATTTTTATTGATGGCATAATGATTTGAATTGTAATAATGTTGATCTCTCTTTTTATATTTTCTTGTAAATTTATTGATTTTATTCGATTTTTAAAATAAAAATTTACCTTTAACTATATGATTATTTATAAATTCCATTATATAGATTTCAAAACTAAATTATTATAATTTTATAGTAAATGATTTGATTTTATATGTTTTACATGTTAACATACAACCGATTATTATCTATTAATATATACTTAGTTTATTTTAATCAATATTTAATTATAATTTATATTAATGCAGAAATTGTAGTTGACGCAAAGTGCGTCAGCAGTACAAGAACAAATTATGGTTACAATTATTTATAATTAATTTTCTTATTGAAAAGAAAATATGTGAAAGTAAATTATGACAGTAATCATAATTTGTTTTTAATCATAAATTCATATTTTAATAATACAGACTTGCATTAAAAAAATTTAAAGGAAATGCAAATTTTTTTTATATTTTTTATGATGATTTTATCGCAGTGAGTAGTTGTTCACACTTTTGCCTGTAGATGCATTCACGTTTTTACAGAAACCCTTCAATAAATAAATTAATAAGTTGGTTTTTATTCCTATGAACAACTAATGAGGAGGAGTTTATCAAATTGATGCTTATATTAAATATGCAAGTGTATTTTTGTTGTTGAATTACATAATTACTTGATCGTTACCCAAAATGCTCTATAAAACTATTGTAAATATTGTAAAAACCGGTAGTTTACATTTTTAGTGGATAAAATGTCATAAATTAAAAAAAATATCTTTTTTTCTTTTTTTGAAAGAAATATCGATTTCTTTCCTAAAAAAATATTTTAAAATATGGTTGTATATTCTATGAAAATATATGATATATTGATACCACTTCATGTTGATATTGAAATTAATTCACAATAGATTAATTATATCACTCAATAATTAGTAAAATAAATCAAACTACATTGTTAAATTAATTATTATAACACCAAAAAATATTATTATGTATACATGCGAATACAATTTTGTAGGTGTGCAAAATAATGTCTAATTTTAATTATAAATCATGTCATAGATTTGTTTACTCATATGAATTTGACATATACGTCATATTTTTCATCTAATTTTATATTTTCAATGTTGTGTTTTGTATTGTAATACCTACAATATTGTCAAGTTCAAATGGATATTTTATTATTTATTTTGATTTATAAATATAAATTAAATAATATAATAAAGTATAACGAATGAAAGAAATATGCAAGTAAAGAACTTGGAGTTTTTTTTAATCATCATAAATTTCCTTACGAGACTTAGAAGCATTTCAAGATTTTTAATTTAAATCTTTTATTTTTTTTTCATTATTCTTTTTACTTAAATGTTATGTACCACATATACATATGCTTTTATAAAATGTGATCATTATTTAATTGACCGGAATTTTGTTTTTTTTTCTATATCAGTGTAAAAATTAATTAAACAGGTGGTAGGTAATAAGAAATAATAAACAAACGGAATAATTGTTAGTATACTCATTTGTATACACATGAAAATAAAAATATTGAAAATAAATAAGTCAATTACTTGCAAAATCCGAGCTAATCAAAATAATGCAATTGTATATCAATTTTGAAAAATTAACTACATTATTTATTTAAAAGAAAAACATATGTATTCAGTATTGAAACTATGTGTATAACAGAAATAAAAGCAAAACAATGTCTATTTCTATTATAAAAATAACAGTCGAAAGTGAGAAATTCTAATGTTAATCAGGCGTGTAATACATACACCCCCACTACATGTTGTCTACATAGAGTAAAATAATATGAAATTCTATTTCATTGAAAATACGAAACTTGAAATTATTAATGATAATAAAAACAATAATTATTATAGAAATTTTTGAATTAATGAATATTAGATATAGAAGTACGAAGTTTTATATATGTGAGTTAATTATACAGTAGCCTTATATTTTAATGAAAGTTCATTTTAGCTAATATTTATATTAGAGTTAATTTAAATATATTTATTTTAATTAAATATTTAAGTATAATAATAGCCGAGAGCAAAATGGTTATAATTGATTTTGCAGAGTAATTCATTACCTATATAATATAATTTTTTTAAAGATTATTGATAAATATTGTTCTTTATTTTTTCAAGTTCGTATATTTAAAATCAGTAAAAATTGCTGAGAAAAATTATTTTTATTGAGCCATGACTTGTTAACAAAGAAGAAATAATCAAATTGTAGGAAGCACTAGTTTTTGAATTCTATTGTGAATCACTTTTTTTCAAATATATAGACCGGAATATTGCAAATTACACATTTAGTTTGTTTGCCGCATGGTCTATATAATTAAGAGATTAAATTTATGAAGCCATAAGAAGTTTGATTGCTAAGTGAAAGTATTCTTAACTAATAAATAAATTATAATTGTTAAATATTAATAATCTGAAATGTTGCAAACCAATAAGGAAAAAAAAACACCCGTTATAGGAACTTTTTTTGTTAACATAAAATTTTTAAAGCTTTACTGTACTCGTAATTCTAACTATTTTCTTTTACTAGTCTCATATATTTTTTTACTTTCAAATGACAATATAAATAAAATGGAAAAAGTAATATACGGATTCATAATTAATTTGTTCATTGATTTCGAATATGTTTTGAGGAATAATTTAACTTGTTTTATGCATAATGTTGTTATTATTACTGATATAGGAAAAGCAAATATGAATTGTGTGAGTTCAAAAACAATATGATCTGCACTGACCTTATAATATTATGTGATAAATATATCGATTTATGTATGTACATATTTATTCATTTTATATAAGACTATATATATATATGTATATATGATATAATCAATATGTTAATTTGTCTCAATATATACATACGTACGTCTGAAATTGAACAAGGCTATTAAATAAATAATATATTTAATTCAATGTTTTAGAAAAATTCGAATTAAATTATTATTTATTAAATACATATATGTCTAAGTCATACTGTAGTTATTTCATATCCTAAATGTGTATATTGTGTACTATATAATAAGAAAGCAAATATAATTTATTGATAATAAATTTATTGAATTAACATTTGAAATAATATTTATTGATCAACTTTTGTAATTTTTATAAATGATATCAAGTAATATTAATTATTTTCATAAGTGTATACTAATATGAATGTCAAGAAATTTTAATATAAATTAAAATTGTTATAATTATCAAAGTAATTTCTCCTATATTTTCATTTAAAAAATTTTTATAATTTACTTCCACTTAAGAAATTAAATTTCTTCCCGTATTATTATTTTTTTTCATATTGTTGTTTTAGTGTACAGGTGATAAATTGTTTAATAAATTATGTATTTGAAATTCTAGAACAGGTGTGCTAATATTGTTTGCTTCTGGAAATTATTAACTTCAAAAGGTTCGATTAACATATGTTAATATTAGAAAAACACGGTTAATAAATTATAATATCAATCTGAATGAAGAAAAATTTAGAAAAAATTTTTATTCAAATCAATAATAATAGTTATCATAGAGTTGGCATCTGTGTATTTTAAATAAAAAAATAAATAAATTTTAGTTCCGTTCAGTTAAAATCTAATTTATAATTATAGGTTACGTGTTAATTGAGACAGGCGATTTGATTTATTTATTTATTAAACAATTCTAATTTCTAGTTTAATTTATCCATGTGCACGGTTCAATATACACTTTCAATAAATATTATTAATTCTTGGAAATTTTATTTTTTGGGATCGTGTATAAGGTGAAAATAAAGGAATCAATATTAAATTTTGGAAATAATTTAGTAAAGTTTGATTTTTGAGAATTTTAATGATTCCATAATCAAAATTAAATTATTACTTTATTTTCATTAAAGATTATTTTACTAAATATTTATTTTTAACAATAATTTCAATAAATTATTCAAAATTTGATTTTTATGTTTTTTTTACTTACAGTGGCGAAATGATATTAAAATGGTACGTGATTTAAATGTTGATATTTATCGATTTTCAATATCTTGGCCAAGAATTTTACCAACTGGTTTTACAAATGTAATTAATGAAAAAGGAATACAATATTATAATAATATTATTGATGGTTTATTATATTACAATATAACACCGATGGTAACAATTTATCATTGGGAAATGCCTCAACGTTTACAAGAATTAGGTGGATGGACAAATCCAGAAATAATTGAACCATTTAAAGATTATTCAAGAATTTTATTTGAACGTTTTGGAGATCGTGTCAAGATCTGGACAACAATTAATGAACCATGGCATGTTTGTGAACATGGTTATGGTGTTGATTATATGGCACCAGCCTTAGAATATCCAGGAATTCCATCATATTTATGTGGGCATAATGTTTTAAAAGCTCATGCAGATGTTGTTCATATGTACAGAAATGATTTCCAAGAGAGACAAAATGGTAAGTTTAAGTGTAATTTGTTTTTAGAATTTTAGTGGAAATTATTCAATAGGTCATTAATTTTGTAGGTATAAGATAATATTTCTAGTTCAATCAACTTGAGAGCTTAAGAAATAAGGTTCAGAAAAGATTTCTGAATTAACCTTGAAATAATAAATTACGATCCTTCGACGTTCGACGGTCACTTTTCTGCAAGTCAGTCTTGCGTAGTCTCGAACTTTGGGAAATTCTTGAATAAATCGTAATACCACTATTTGTTGAAAAGTCAGCTTATATTTTTTGTTCTGAAAAATATTTTAAAACATAATTATTGCAAATATTTTACTTCGAATTATTTTATAATTTTCCTGTAGGTACTGGCTTCAATTTTTATGATTAGATCGTTGTTTGTTTCAACTGTTATATAAGCTATTGATTAATTTTTGTTCCATAAAATTTCTATTTTAATATTCTTCTATTAAAATTAATTTCTTTATAATGGCAATAAACTTTTTATTCAACACGTTTTTTAGTTCCTGAGGGGGTGTGTACATTATGTTTTTAGTGTCAAATTTTATAAGGTAATAAAAAAATTTATAGGTTTATTGTAGTGCTTTGAAGAATAACGGGTTTATTTTAGATTAATCTCTTATTTAATATTATACACAAATATTTTAATTATGTGCCTATGTACAGTTCTCCCCGGTTAATTGAACCGAGAAAAGTTGCACACTTTTTGTATCAATTAAGCGGGTAAATCAATTAAAAAAAATCCCGTTTAATTGAACAATTGGTGCAATAAAACGAATTTTTTTAACTGAATCGTTTACGCATGAAAACGAATACTCGCTATTGAAGATCAGGCGCAAAAACGAATTTGATCCTGCTACTGCATAAAATTAATAAAAACAATAGGAAGCATATCCTATTACATATACTTATCAAAATATCCTAGGTAAAAAGCTATATTTAAAATAGGGGATACACTAATGAAATACTAAAACTCAAATTTTTTTTTATTTCAAAATTTAAAAACTTAAATTTTTCTTTATTTTAAATCCATCTAAGTAATGTAACTATGAATTCAAATTCAAAATATTTAAATCATAATATTTTTATATCACATAACATAACAAAAATTAAAAATAAATATTTCATATTACAAAGAAAACAAAATATTTCATACGTTATATCTAATTTTTCAATAAATTTACTATTGCTAGTTTAACAACAACAAATAGAATAATAAAAAATTAAACCTATTTAAAAAAATTTGTAATTTTCGTTTGGTTATGTTTGTAATGATTCTTAATAATAAAGGTTTCCATTTCATCTAAGTTTTCAATAAATTTATTTTGTGGGATAAAAAATTTCCGTACAATGTTTATGCCGTTATCAGGTCAATAAACAGGGGAATTTTTCACAGTTTTTATAAGGTAATACCAAAAAAAGAGATTCATTTAAGCGAGTTGTTCAATTAAACGGGACTCAATTAAACGATGTTATTCATGTATATTTTAATAGGGATTTAAAGTTGCCTTAGTTTTTCGTTCAATAAAAGGGGAAAATCAATTAAGCGTGGTGCATTTAACCGGGGAGAACTGTACTTAAAAAAACAAGTTATTAATTCATAAATTTCATTGATGCTAACTTAAGATGCGATTGACAGTTTTGTTTACTTATTTAATACTATAAAATTAGAACGTTGATCTTTCAAATTTAATTATACAAGAATTATTTACTTAAAACAAAAGTAATATAAAAATTTTTCAAGTTAATTATAAAGTTTTTGCGATTTAAATCATTATATGTATGTGTATGTATGTATTTTTGTATGTCATTACAATTTCGTACTTCATATTTCTTTTTGGATCAAGTTACTTAGAATTAAAATTTAAAGTTTACTTTGAGATGTCATTGTTTATGATTGTCAACTTAATTTCAGAATTATTTCTCTAAAAGTTTATTGTTATACTGTAAATTATGTTCAAGTTAAATATGTAAAAACAATGTTAACAAGCATACAATTAACGGTAATATTTTGTATATTTTAGTTAATACTAATTACAATATAATAGAAAAGGGGTTAATAATTAGCAAGAGAAATTATCTTATATTTTAATTGGGTGTAAGTCATAAAGATATGAAATAAAATTTACATAACGAGATAATGATATTAAGTGCTTTATAATTATATGGGAATTTATTCATCTTAGAACAGTTGTGTTTTTTAATTCTAAAAGTATCTAAATATATATATTTAATTCATTTACAATATCTAAGAAAAACCCATAATGAACTTAGTGCACATGTACAAGACAAATCATTCATGCAGCTTACCAATTAATATCTGATATTTGCTCATCTGAATTTTATATTTACATAAAAACGTGAGCACATCGTATTTTGTATTTTAATTCAACTATCAATGTAATATTGAAATGTTGTTAAACACCATAATAAATTAAAAAATAATTATTCCAACCTATTCCAACTTCTTCACATGTATGTACATTTTGTGTAATATATATGTACATATATACATACAAATGCATGATTAAAAAGTGATAAAAATTTTAAACAAGCGTGTTGCGTGTATTCATTCATATCGATCACACCATCCGAACATGCGATAAGATTTTACTTTATTTTTTTATTTTTAAAATAAAAATCTAAGTAAGCAATAAATTTAAAACCATGAATTTAAAAACCATAATTTAATTCGGTCTAACTTTTAATTAGTAATTGATTAACAAGAGATGTTCCCAAAAATTATAATTGGAAAAATTTTAAATAATTTTACGTAAAATTTATATTTTCACGTAAAAATATTACATTTTCTGGAAAAACTGAATTTTTCCGAATTTTTCCGAATTTTTCGTAAAGGTTGAATAGTTTTATAGTATGACATTCTTTAGGGCTCTAACGGAATTTAGAAAATTATTTTTTATTTGTTTATATATTGAATTGTTCCAAGCTTGTATATAAGTTAAATTGATCAGAAATCTAAAACTTTTATAAACTATAAAGAGATATAAAAATCTGCATAAGAATTTGTTAAGCATATTAAAATATTGAATTTATTATATGTATATGTTTATTTATTTTCATATGAATTTAATAATATTCTTATTTATTATAATTTTTTAATATGACCTTTTATTATTATTACTATTTGTTATTATTTCATAAAATATTTTTATAATAATATTGAAAATAATAAAACATAATTTTAATTTGACTTGTTTGGTGTGTATTTAGAATGAAAAATATTTCAATAAAATAAAAATAAAATAATTATAATCGAAAGTACAAAAAATTTCCCATGACATAAAATAATGATTACTTTCAGAAAAAAGTTTAAGTTGGAATAATATATATATATTTGCGTTTATTTTTAATATATACGTTAGCTTATGTGTTAATATTTTTATAATAAAAATATAATATTATTAATGAAATACTCCTGTCATTAATATATTATTATTTAGCTTTTAACTAGTCAGTATATAACCTATAATTTGCATATGATGTCAAATAAACTTACTTTCGCACTTAGTAACAGTAATACAATGAACCATGTTTATAACAGTAATAGTAAATCATAGTTAATTGACACTTTTGTGTAATAGTAAGCCGCTGTCAATTCGAAATATTTAACTGCGAATATATATATATGAATATCTTAAAATATATTCTAAATGTAAGAACCAGTTTACAAATTTTACAAGATTGCGTTAATTACAAATTAAAAATAAGAAAATAAAGTGCCATATATTATAATTGATTTACTTATATTTAGAAATACGAGTATATTAGATCTTCAGATTTTTTTCTAGAATAAAATTATGTAAATTAATACTTTCATGATATATTAAAATATTTTATTAATTCTAATTTATAGGTAAAATTGGTATAACATTAGATGTTTCTTGGCCCGAGCCAAAAACCGACTCTCCATCAGATCTCGAAGCTTCTGAGATGGGTATGCAATTTTATGTAAGTATTTTACAATTTTTCAAGCTGTGTGTGATTTACCTTCATTAAAATATTATTGTCTAGTATATTCTTGAAGTACAATTAAAATGAATTAATAATATTTTAATAATTAAAAAGAAAAATCTTTTTATGTTACTTTATATTATATTTGCATACACTTAATTTCATAAATATGTATGCATAAATTGAGATTATTATTTTAATGTGGTAATCCACTTAATTGTTATCAAGGTTAAACTTTTTCAATTTAATGCACATCGTATTATAAATTTTTGATTATGTGAATTCATAATGTTTATAACATAAATATTTTATATATATATACATATGTAGTTAATTAATATAAAAATTTATTGTTGAATATTCATTAAGGAATTTTTTTTTTAATTTGCAGGTTGGTTGGTTTGGTCATCCAATATTCTCGAAACGTGGAAATTATCCTCAAATAATGATTGATCGTATTAATGCATTAAGTAAGGAACAAGGTTTTACAAAATCAAGATTACCACGTTTTACAGCTGAAGAAATCCGTCATATACGTGGTACATCAGATTTCTTTGGTATTAATACATATACATCAAATTTAGTTACGAAAAATGATCATAATAATACACTTGGTAAATATCCGATACCATCATTTTTACATGATATGGGTACCGTAGAAACTCAAGATCCATCATGGAAAGGTTCCGGTTCAGTTTGGCTAAAAGTAAGTTATTTACAAGTTATTATACCCTGCACTTCGTGAAGGGTATATTAACTTTGGTATGGAGTTTGTAACTACTTGAAGGAGTCATCTGCGGTATGGACATATATATATATTCTTGCTCAGCGTAAAATTCTGCGTTGATTTAGACATGTCCGTCCGTCCGTCCGTCCGTCCGTCCGATCGCACGATAACTCAAAAACGAATAATGCAATCGACACCAAACTTTCACAAGTTGCTTCTTTTGTGCCAAGGACGAACCCTATTGTTATTGGACCAATTCGGACAACGGGTTCGGGTAGCTGACATACAACTCAAAGAGTTTATTTTAATTATTTCAAAAACTAATAAAGGTACAAATATAAAATTTTGTATACATGTGTCCAATTATATTCTACATATGCTCTAAAAATTTTAATGAGATAGCTGCACCGGTTCGGGTGGCTGCCATACAACTCCAAAAGCAAATTTTTTATATTCGGCAAAATAATAAAGTCAGATTCATGAAACTTGGCAGTTGTGTGTCCAATTATAGGTGAAAGATATTTCTGAAGTTTTGGTGGAATTGCTCTACAGGTTCGAGTGGCTCCCATACAAGTCCAAAAGCTTATTTTAAATATTTGGAAAAGTAATAAAATTAGATTCATGAAACTTGGCAGTTGTGTGTCCAATTATAGATCAGATATACCTGCGAAGTTTTAGTGGAATTGCTTGACAGGTTCGGGTGCCTGCCACACAACTCCAAAAGCTAATTTTAAATATTTGGAAAAATAATAAAGTCAAATTTATGAAACTTGGCAGTTGTGTGTCCAATTATTGATCAGATATATTTGCGAAGTTTCAGTGGAGTTGCTTGGCAGGTTCGGGTACCTGCCATACAACTCCAAAAGCTAATTTTAAATATTTGGAAAAATAATAAAGACAGATTCATGAAACTTGGCAGTTGTGTGTCCAATTATAGATCAGATATATTTGCGAAGTTTCAGTGGAGTTGCTTGGCAGGTTCGGGTACCTGCCATACAACTCCAAAAGCTAATTTTAAATATTTGGAAAAATAATAAAGACAGATTCATGAAACTTGGCAGTTGTGTGTCCAATTATAGGTCAAAGATATTTCTGAAGTTTTGGTGGAATTGCTCCACAGGTTCGAGTGGCTCCCATACAAGTCCAAAAGCTTATTTTAAATATTTGGAAAAGAAATAAAGTTAGATTAATGAAACTTGGCAGTTGTGTGTCCAATTATAGATCAGATATACCTGCGAAGTTTTAGTGGAATTGCTTGACAGGTTCGGGTGCCTGCCATACAACTCCAAAAGCTAATTTTAAATATTTGGAAAAATAATAAAGTCAAATTTATGAAACTTGGCAGTTGTGTGTCCAATTATAGATCAGATATATTTGCGAAGTTTCAGTGGAGTTGCTTGGCAGGTTCGGGTACCTGCCATACAACTCCAAAAGCTAATTTTAAATATTTGGAAAAATAATAAAGACAGATTCATGAAACTTGGCAGTTGTGTGTCCAATTATAGGTCAAAGATATTTCTGAAGTTTTGGTGGAATTGCTCTACAGGTTCGAGTGGCTCCCATACAAGTCCAAAAGCCTATTTTAAATATTTGGAAAAGAAATAAAGTTAGATTCATTAAACTTGGCAGTTGTGTGTCCAATTATAGATCAGATATATTAGCGAAGTTTTAGTGGAATTGCTTGGCAGGTTCGGGTACGTGCCATACAACTCCAAAAGCTAATTTTAAATATTTAGAAAAATAATAAAGTCAGATTCATGAAACTTGGTAGTTGTGTGTTCAGTTATAGGTCAGACATATCCGTGAAGTTTCTATAGAATGGTTTCACAGGTTTGAGTAATTGCTATACAACAATGAAAGGTGCAGGGTATAATTCAATCGGTTCATACCGACTGAAACGTTTTTACTTGTTTTTATTTAATATAGATCGTGTATATCGTGTAATATAAATTTAAAACTGATTTAATTCACTCGGGAATTTAAATTGTGCTGCTGAATATACGTTCAGTTATGATATTAGGTTTGAATTAAGGTAGATCCTATATTTTTGAAGCATATACTTTCATATAATGTACTTTTATATAAGTAATTATACAATAATGATTATGTGGTTTCCTTAATTTCGCAAATTATGTTTATTTATTTGGCTACATTTATATGACAAAAACTTCTTTATTTTTAGACACATAATTAAATGACATTGTCCACACATTGTTAGAATAAGATTAATTAAGATTTTGACAATTGAAATTATTTAAGGTGATTATTAATCGCCATTTATCTATTTATATATTAATTTTTGAGACTCATCTTCTATAATTGAAGAAAATTAGAGAATAAAAAATTTTATATACAACGATATTCTAATTTAGTCAATTTCACAAATTAATTCTGAAAATAAAATAAGTTTAAATATAAAAAAATTTATAAAAAGATATCCGCGTTTTTTATATTCTAAAAGAAATAATAATATTGTACAAGTTAAGAGATACTGATTTTATAGAACATTCATTATTAAATTCATTAAAACAGTATATTAAGACTTATAAGTTGATATTGTGTAAACAGAATAAGTACAATACTCATGTATGTACATACAGTATCGAAGTTATAATTGATTAATAATATTTGAGAGTGTGCTTTGTGACTTAACACTGACTTTAAAAGAGACTTATTAAAACACTTAAAATTCATTATTATTTTACAATATTTTTAATGAAAATTTAAGATTAGATTAAAGTTTCTTTACACAATTAATACCACACTGATGTTAAATTTGTATAGCATGTACTCTACTTTGTATTTTATATCGAATATTGACAGGAGATGTAGGCACAAAAGAAATTCTATTCTTTTATTCTACTAAACAAAACCACGGTATTTCTATTGTTACATGATTTTTCAGTCTTTCACACATGTATGTATATAAATATACAAAATATATGTATGTACATTTATTAATTAACAAAAAAATACTATAAAGACCTAAAAAATTTTTACCTTTGTTTTTTAATTGATGTTAAAAGTAAGTAGATTATGTAATAACAACAATGATATTACATAAATTATTTAGATGTCTGTACAGAACAATAAATATCGTCAACTTCACACCATTTTGATTGATATGTTGGGGATGTTGTTTTATAACTTGTTTGTTTAGAAACAATATTAAGTTAGAGTGGAAGAGAAAAATCAACATTGTAAAAATAAATTTAATTAAATGACATTTACCGCGAAATAATTGATTTTTGATGTTAAGAAATAAGTGATATTAATTTCATCATTTATTCGATTAATTAATGTCGCTAATTGGTTTTTAAAATTTAATAAAGATTCAAGTTAAAAATAAAATTTAAATTTTCTTATTTTAGTTTACTTTGTCTAAAAATTTTTATATGCATAAAGAGTTTTTTTATTCTAGAACAAAATCTGATCGGTAGCAGTACAAAGATTAAAAGAGAATTCTTGTTTTTTTTAAATTCCTACTCCTTAATTAATTATTTACCATGCAATTAAATTTAAAACCATTTTGATTTTCAAATTGAGTTTTGTATTTTACAATATTTAAAATTCAAGTAAATTTATATTTCAAATTATGCACTTATAAATGCACATTTATACCTGGTCTAGCAATTATTTTAAAATTAAGGTCTTAATTAAATTTTTCTTTTTCTATAGTTTTATCCAGCTGGAATGTATAAATTATTAATGTGGATTAAAAAAGAATACAATAACCCTCCAATAATTGTTACTGAAAACGGTGTCAGCGATAAAGGTGGATTACAAGATTACGATCGTGTTGATTATTTTAATTTATACTTAACAGCTGTATTAGATGCAATTGAAGATGGTGCAAATGTTAAAGGATATATTGCATGGAGTTTAATGGATAGCTATGAATGGAAAGCTGGTTATACGTGAGTATTTTTCAAAATTTCCAAATATATCAACTATCATTTATGTTTGAACTATTGTAGAGAAATATAAACTTTATTTTTCAAATTCATGTATAATTTTTTTTTCACGCTTGTACATTTAATGTATATTTTTAGTGAGAAATTTGGTCTTTATCATGTTGATTTTACATCACCAAATCGTACAAGAACACCAAAAATGTCAGCAAAGGTATATGCACATATTTGTGAAACAAATATGATTGATTGGTCATACAGACCAATTATTAAACCGGAAGTTATAGCTCAAGCTCATATGGAAGATAATATGATGCAATCTAGTGCTATTTCAAATGTCATCAATTTTAATAATAGATTATCATTCATGGGAATTTTATTATTAATAATAATAAATTTAGCCATATCATCACAATTATTTTTAAGATGAACTCACAATATATAATTTGTTTAAGAATAATTAAAAATATCAAAAATTTAATGAAATGTGATTTTATTTATAAATTCTGTTCTCTTTTATTATAAAAATGAACAAAATAAATATAAAATTATTTTGTAAAATTTCATACTCAATTAATGAGGCTAAAAACAAATTAAATTCATTAAATTTTTTTTTATAAAAAATATTGAGAATTGAATTTATAAATTAGGAATAAAAATTTTATTGAATTGTGTATTATAATTGTAAAATATTATATATACATATTATATAGTATACTTTGCAAACAATAAATAAATCAGTTCATTTGGAAAATTTATTTTATCAAAAATAATATTAATATTATTATGAAACGGATATCTTGCCAAAGGTACTTAATGAGAAAGGCAAAGAAGTAATTGCTAATTTATAAAGAATTTAAATAATAAAATTTAAATTAAAGATTTATTTGTAATCCTAAATAACAATAATATTAACGTTATTTTTTCATTATAATTGATTAAATATGAAATATAAATGAAATTTTAAAATAATAACTAAATTGTAATACCATAGAGAATTGAACTAAGTCAGCTTTTTTCAAATAGTTTTGTGTACATATGAACATAAATATGTAGTAACAATATTTTTGTAAATAATTTTGAATGTTATGAATTTCTCACATATTATGTAATAAATTATGTATGTAATTAGATTAATACTAAAACTTACATGTAGAATATTTTGTTTTGTATAAAGATTATTATTTTTTAAAATAGCATTTAGTAGCTATTTGTATGTAATTTACTGTGTAGTATTAGAAAAGGAAATATTGAATAATCACTCTGTTGTTATACATTTATAATAAAAAAAATTAAATTTTTTAAATATAAAAAATTAGAATAATAAAATTCATATACGCATGTAAATACATTAAAATAATTTTAATATTTATTACATAAACAATTAAACATACACATATGTATATAATTAAATATATGCTTAGGTAGATATGAATATGTATAGACAAACAAAAATGTATTTTTTAGAATAATTTTGTAATATGAAATACTTAAATCTAAGTCATTTGATAATATTATTGTATAAATTTAACAATTAATTATTTAAATAAAGTGAATAATTTTTTTCTAAAAATAGGAGTCGTTTTATTTGAAATAAATTAAATCTTTTATTGTATTAAGTTGAATGCAACAAAAAGGGACAGACAAAAATATCATGACTTCAGATTTTAATAAATGTCACTGTTGTATTTTATTTAATACAAGAATTTGGTAAGGGTTGTTTTGAAAACCTTCACGGATTTAGTTAGTATTTTTTCTCGTCAAAATATAATTCATTTTTTTTTTAAATATAATTAATTTGGAATACATTTTGATAAATAATTTATTAACAAATTTAAAATAAAAAAAACAAAGAAATTTTTAAGAACCTTTAGGATATTTAATTAGTTTGTTGAGAATCATTTAAAATTAATTTAATATGTATATGTAACGTAACTTAAATATTATAAAAGAGGATTTTCGATAATTCAAACATGCCCTTAAAATTTACAGACGTACATTAACAAATTAATTGCATTGTACATTTCTCTATGTGATTTTTTTTAAATTTAAAATATTTATGCAACATTTAAAAATAATCTTAAAATGCTTTAGATTTTTAAATAGGCCACGATGTTCGAATGTGTTTGATTTATCGAACACTCTATATCTGAGGATTTTGTAATTTTGATTTTTGTCGAAAGTATAATTTCGAAAATGCTTATATTAATATTGAAATCTTCAAATGCATGAATGGTATTATTTGTTTAATATTTTTTAAACTAATAATTCATAAATATCACAATTTTTGTGAAAATTGATTGATGATTAACATTTAAATTGAGTACTGAATCGTGAAGCGACACGGTTAAGTTTAGAGATTTTTTTGAGTTTATAAAAGAATATTAAATGTCCGATAAATGTGGTATAGAATTGCCTTATAGAAAAATAGAATAAATTTTGAAAAACTTTTCATTAAGTTTATTTCTTTGTAATTGATTTAAATGTTCTGACGATATTATTCAACAATCATTCGAATTAGCTTTTTCAAATAGTGCTTATGGACATATAAATGTAATTTCCTAGAAATTTGCGTCAAATGCTTTTTGTATTCCTTTTTTAGTAAAGTAATCTAAAGGTATAATTCAAAATATAAAAATTTTATTAAGGCAACGAAATAATTATTATACTAAAAGTAGCATTATAATGTGTACAAATTTTTTTATTAATATTTTTAATTATGTTAGTAAGGCTCAATTTAAACACAGAATTCAAAAAATTTTAATATGTATTCGATTTTAATTATTTTGATTGACGAATATTTAGTTGCATTTTGAAATTATTCATAGACATTCATTAAGGGTTTTACCACGCTCTACAATTCAAAACATTTCTTAATTCTTATTAAATGAAATATAATATTTTTGAGCGATATTCGCATACTAGGTTATTAATAGTGACCGGTTTTTTTTAATTCATAAAATTATGTGATTAAACAAATAAACCAAATAATGTCGAATATGACAAATGTGAATTTCAAATAAATTATAACTAAGGATCTGTTTACATAAAGAATATTTTAGATTTGCTAATTTTAACAAAAAATTTTCAATTATTTACATTTGGGTTTTTTTGTTTCATTTGAGAATGAGTACATCACCTGCGGTGCCAATATTAAATGTATGCATTCGTACATGCTTTCGTTTGTCAATTATGCGTTCAAATTTTAACATAAAATACTTAACAAATAATTTTAAAGATTATTAACAAATAACTAACATATAAACACGAAAAATCCAAGAAAGTAAATACTGTACGGTAACTTTAAATAACGTGCTTACTTGCATGAGTAAAAAATTCATGACTTTAGAATAATTTAAAATTATTGGACAATCAAAACATGAAAACATCTTTTTCATTTTGAGTCATAAACAAAACGTATACCAGATTTGAGTACAACTCTTAAGATTAAATACAAATTGAAAAAAAATGCTGAATAATATAATTGAAAGATGAAAAATTTAGCCGGTATTCTTATTTTTATAGCACACATACATACATATGCAATATTATAATAAAAATTTTCATCCCTTAACTCCGGGATATTCATTTTAAAGAAAAAAAAAATGTGTGTATGTATGTGCATATATAATTCTGCAATTACGTTCTAATTCAAACAAATTATATAATTAAGTATTTTAGTATTTGTTGTATTAATATTATTGAAAGATTTTCAAAATTTTACACATACTTTAAATAGTATCTATTTTGCGAATAAATGAATTTTACCCTATTTGATATTTCTTAATTTACAATATTATTAATATTTTGAAAGGTGGATATGTTTTTTAATTTAAAATATTATTTCCTCACATTATGAAATTTGAAGGGGTACAAATACATAATAATTAGAAAAATTATATAATATATGAGTCTATAATCATATAATCATAAATAGCATTTATATAGTTTATTAGTTATGCAATTTTAGAATTATAAATTACAAGTAAAAACGTGACAAATTAAATATTTTTAAACGAGATTTTTTTTATTATCATATATCATTATTGTAATTTTCATCCATATGGTGAAATTCAATTTGTTGGTAAAATAAAATATGCAAATGTACACCATAAAAAAAGCAATATAATTCTACGTCATTTAGTGTATTGCAGTTGGTCCTTTCGGTTTATAATGCTATTTAGGAAAAAGTGCAAATTTTATAAGTAGAATTTGTTAAAAGTATGCAGAAAGTGGTATATTTTGACCAACATTTTCAAAGTGTCCGTGTGGCATTATAAGTAATATTTAAATTAATATATTTTTTAATTGTAATGAAGTAAATTTTTTATTAAATGATATTATAATTGAAGAAGATGTACTTACCTATCACGTTTTCACAGTATTTATTTGATACAATTACGTAAATTCGCTTAAGACAGTTTTTCACTTTTTTACAGAAAACTTATGTTATAATTAGATAAATGAAGGGAAATTCAGTCTATTCCAGAATTATGTACATGTGTCTTAATAAAAGGTATCGTTTCCGATTATCTTTTGAAATCTCAATTCATTTGATGGTAAGTTCAGTTGCTAGTTGTTACAAATTGGATTGGGACTAATTTCTATTTAGTTTGCACCAATAATTTATGTACTCTATAGTTGATCTTCTCAACTATAAATACTCCTATTGTTGGCGCTATATTTATATTAAAATAGATTTCCTATTTTATATTGAACAAAAGTGTCCAAATCAGATAAAATTTTATTATATTGTTTACATACATAGAAATGAATTTAATCGATATAATTATTATTAATTATACACGACTTTCAAAAAAAAAAAACAAGAAATATCGATTATAGAATACTTTTATTTTTTTTCTTTTTTTTTTCTAAAATTTCCGGAAGCCTAATTTAAATATCACCTTTAACAATGATTTCGTGAAAGTCTACAAAAATATCGTGTAAATCGTGAAATCAGAAAAATAATAATAGAACTATGTAATCAAATATTTAACACAAGTATCGATTTTAAACTAACGATTAATCAAAATTACTATAATTTTCAAACATCTTTATAATTTCATATTACTAAAGGAATATGGACAAATATTATTAAGTGTTTTATAACCTATATGAACATGCATATATATGTATAAATATTTTATTATATATAATTATATACAAATGAAATAAAAGTAATAAATAATTCATTTGAAATGAATAAAATATTGAAAGTATATTGACTTATTTACATGTGTTTATTATAATAAATTTTAAAACGAAAAACATTGTTTTAATTGATTAAAATTTTGCATTTTTATGAATATGGAAATGAATGTTAAACACGCTTTTATTTCGTGTACATTGCACTTTCTTATTCGTGATTTGTTCTATTTTAAAAATTGAAAGTTTAGGATTAATAAGGGTAGCAAGAATTTAATATAATTTCAATTTATAATAAAAAACACCATGCCATTTAATAAATTATACAAAGTTATTGTAATGGAATTAGTTAATTTTGAAGTAGATTGATGAAGATTTTATTTATGAGATGATCGGGAAACTTAATAAATTTACACATAATTATATTTCTATAATATTTATGAACATGATAGAAGTTCCGAGAAAGTTCCGTAAAGAATATTATATAATTATGTACATGTACATGCATACATATTGTGTAATACGGTATATTAAAGAATAGTGTCGAGAGAAATTACTGGGTTAGTAGAAAATTCTTTGGTACACAATATGCTGAAACAAAAAATGTTGAAGTTACGCAAATGACTGTTCAAAATATTCTTTAAATCAAAATGAAAGAATCTTTGCAAGCTAGTAAGGCTTGTGCTGTACACAAATTTTTATTGCATTCCCGTATAATTGAAGAATGTGTTCACATTTGTTTATACACATATAATTTGCCATATTTCTTATAAATGCGGTTGTGAGATTCAATAAGTAATTGAAAAAAACTTTTTTTTTTGATTAAAAAATCAAATTTATATAAATTTACATACCATTAAATGAATTTTCAATTTATTTTCTGAATGTGTATCTACATATATGTATGTATCTTTGATTTTGGCATATTATTGAATATTTTTAAAAGAATGTATTCAAAGACAAAAACGAAGAGTTGAACACATATAAAATTTCAATTTTCTTTTGCTCTTGTTATACAAAATAATTATTCATGACTTTTGCAGTAGTTTCAACTTCATTTTTTGAGAAGAAGAAAAAGTAGTATAATTGAATACATACATACATACAGATGTGTTCATTTCATACATTACGAATTTTGTTTTTTCATTCAAATATGCAACATGTTTATGCTAAGAATTATGCACAAGTATAATATATGACACTTCATTTCTAC